TCAAAGAAGATAGTCTCATAAGTCTTAAAAATGTAGATTTCTCATTTATATTCAAAGTTTATTTTGCACCTAAGACATGCACTTTGAATGTTACTAAATGTCCATCCATTTTGATCTTCTTCGCAATGTCAAAAATTATCATTGATTTTTGAATCAATTACAACTTTAAATTTCAATCATCCCTTTTCTGGACCATCTTTGGCAAAAGGGTTACAACCTATAATAACCTCTGTCAATAATTTGTTCACTTGAATAGATGATATCTAGTCAATTTAAGGTTTTTAATCTAACATCATAGATAAGAAGCTTATCCTTCATTAAAAAAAAAATCAGATGGAGAATTCTCATATAAATAAGGAAAAAATGTGAGTTTGAAAGTAAATGCTTGCCCCAACATTAATTCAAAATAAGACAACTTTTCTCACTTGCCTCGAAATTACCAACATATATTTTGAAGTCGCCTTAACATTACATGCTAAATGCTCAACCCCAAAAACTAATCACATAAGGTATTACCAATGACTTGCCTCACCCAACACTCAGAAGTGTAAAAAACTCATCGCATTCTTAATCATTTGAACATTCACCATTCAGAGAAAAACAACTAACTTGTCGTGACATTAAATAAGAAGTCAAGTTATCCTCTTGCCCATAAGGTAGCATTTAAGGCATGTACAAGACAATCACCATAAGAATAGAGGTAAAGTAAAATGAGACCTCATATACTTAACAAAAGGGTACTCAACTTCCAAGTAGGGTTAGGTGTCACCCGAAGACAAAAAATGGATCCAAACTCATGAAAGGTCTAGTGATTGTGAAGAAGGTCATCCACCCTAGACAATTTGGCTTTGCAGAATGTGGATGCACAGGTTTTGTTGGGAAAGATGGGTCGACTAGAAAAGGAACCTACATAATAAAGATGGAAACCAACCCCTAAGCATACCAATTTCAAATAAATGCAGGTAAAGAGGTGTTGATGATATGGAGTGCCAATCACTTAACATGATTTAACCTTAATGGAAGTCATCATATCTATGTTGTATCTTCTCTTTATTAATAACATACACTCATTTTTATCAAGTTCATTTCTATATGGTGAACCCACTATAAAGTAAATTAATAATGAAAATAATAAATACGGAAACTCACCCATTGATGCAATCAAAAGTAGAGAGATCATTTTCAAGATTATGCCATATTATGACTTGTTGACTTCAAACTCAATGAACTGTGAACCCTGGTGAGATAAGTCTTATTAGAAAAATTCCAACTTATAGGGATAACTTTACCAATTATAAAAATGGTCCACTGACATGGTCAAATATTGATATAATCCTAGACCAATTCAAGTTTAAGAACAACAAGGCTACTTCTTGTAGATGAGCATAAATTTATAAGGAAAATACAAGCATCAGAGCTGAAACCACATGGATGACTTGATGAGGTCACCTCCTTATTTTTGTTATGTCACTCCAACAATTTTAAAATATTTTAAAAACTCACCAAAAAATTATCTCTTTGCCCTAAAATTTAAAAAAAAAAAGATTTTTAGAAAAATTACAATTAGTCACTACACTAACTCACCACTTATTTGCATTTTATTTTTATGAGATACGGGAAGTCAAATAAGATCTAACTAAAAACTATCATATTCATGCCTAGCCTTGAAAGGTGACTACGCAATCCGGAGAATTATTTTGTGCGGATGCCAAACTCCGTTCAGAGACCAACCAAAATGAACCACGTCAATATCGTGGCTCGATACAGCTCAGTACCATGGCTCGGTACCGCGCTCGACATTGATGACGTAGTTCATTCTGATTGGTCTTTGAATGTAGAGCTGTGTTCGGCGTCCGTACAAAATAATTTCTCCTTTGTAACATGATCCGCATTGAGTAACACTTGAGTTCTTTCCTAACAACAAAATTAGATTTTTATCCCTATGAAGATAAAATATTTAACAAAAGGTGAGGCCCATGGAAGGTTATAGTGAGTCAGGACATGTGCAATATAGCCCTAGAAGGTGTCATCCCTTTATGACTAGATCCAAATGAGTAGTGCATAAGTCCATTCTAGTCTGTGAGTCTAGATGGTTACCCTCACAAAGACTTGTCTAGTGAAAAGTGAGACCTATTTATGGTGACATTATTGCTTGAAGAATAATTATCAACAAGTGAGCACAAATTTTATTCAAAACTAAAAAAAAGTGAATCTATATACATTGCCATAAACTACAAAACATGAGAGTGATTTTTTTTTTTCATTTACTTCAAATAAAATTATATCTTTGAATTATAGGGCAGTACTTCTAATTTATTTTCTCTTTACTAATTAAGCAAAATATTAAATGCTTTCATTTTTAATTCTCTTGTCATGTTTGCAAGTTTCTATTCAAAGGAGCAAGAGAATTAGGGAACTAAATGCATGTCCATGCAAGCTGCTATAAGTTACTAGTATGTACAAACCAAGTTCACCCATGAAGAGCTAGATCAAAAGGTGCAATCACCCAAAAAGAGCCTCAACCTGAAGAGCATTTTCTTAACAATATTAAAGAGAAGCAGATATTCACCCCAATGAAGCTCACATTATAAGAGGTTCCGCCAAGAAGCTCAATCAGGAGGCATATATTAGGAGTGTCATCAACTGAATAACTTGCATCATCAAGCCTTTAGTAGAAGAAGCACTTGCTTTTTGAAGAATAAACTATTTCAGCTATCCTCTCCACTCTAGGCCATCCATCTTTCACAAGTATTGTCATCCAATCTATAAGGGCCACACACCTAGAGAGCCTACAGTCAGGGTTAAATCACTTATAGTCATCCCTAGCTCAGGCCTCAGAGTCACTCACAGGAAACACCTGCCTAGAAGATTTGTCATTTGCCCTGAGGAACTCGCCACTTGTCCGGTGTATTACCTTTGTAGACTTGCATAGGATATTTGATTTGGAGGACTTCTTCAATGCAAATGTATTTTGAGGACTTACTAAGAGAACTCAACTCCGAGTACTCGTGAACCCTCATAAGGGTACTTGCATCTAGAGCCATAACAAAGATAATGGCCACGTGTATACATTTTTATCTAATTCATGTGTTTATATCTACCTATACTTATTAAATCAAATATTCTCTCTATTTGTTTTAAAATTTAACATTTTTAATAGCTCTCTTAATCCTATAAATATGGGGTTAAGAGGTATATTTGAGACTTCATGTATTTTTTACTATTCATAGAGATTATTTAACTTCTTAGATGCTCTTCAAACCCATTCTCTCCCTCACTTTCTCTTGATCTATAGAGTCAGACATGCTAATAAGAGTCAGGTCTCACCAACAAATAAATTTAAATTCAAGAAAAACACATTAACTTAAGAATCCCCACCAAAATGATGTTTAGGCAATATAATATCTACTTAAAACTCATATCTGATAAATATTTTTTTTAAAAAAAGGAGAACACTAGACCAGAAATATTAAAATCAATTTTAAACAAAATGTAACAGACAAAATAGCAATTTAATTGACAAGGATAAAAGATATAAATATTTATCTTTAAATTTTCAAAAGAATTTAAAAAAAGGAGCATGCACAAAAAAATGTGAGAGGTAAGCACTGGCAAGACAAAAAGTGAAAGAGGGAAATAGTAGAGTGAGGCATCTAGTTCTAGGGGTGTCAATTTTGGGTTACGGATCAGGTTCGAGTCGAACACGAAACTGACGCGGCACTATTTGTGTTCGGGTTGACCCGACCCGGTTTTGCAAATGGGTCAATTTTCTAGACCCGCACCCGACCCGTTTTCGGGTCAACCTGACTCGACCCGCAGACGCGACATGGCCTCGGGATGCTGGCGACGCGGAACTGCTGGACGCCGGCGAGGCGGAAACTGCTCAAGACGCTACTGCCTCGGGATGCGATGCGACCTGGCCTTGGGACGCAACTGGATGTGACGCGTCCGGGCAGGCAAAGCAACCGGGAAGTGGGCAAGGTCTTTCCGAGCATGGGTTTGTGTGCATTTCGGGTCATTTCGGGTTATTCCGGGTCAACCCGAACCCGACCCGATTTTTTAAACGGGTCGATTTTTAAGACCCGAACCCGACCCAAACCTGAAATTTTCAGGTCGGGTTCGGGTCGGGTCCAATATTGAAAGGTCTCTCTGGTTAGAATATAGGGCTTTACCAGTGACATTTCCGATGGATTTTTTCATAAATTCTTCTGTACCATCATTGGCAAAAAATTTGTCGGTTTTAAGTGAATGCATCTGAATTTTCATCTGACTAGCTTCTGCCAATAATACCGACGAATAATGCGCTGATTTTTTATCATTTTTTTCACATAATTTTATCTGTATTAACGCCAGAATTTTCATCTGAACTTAGTCCACCAGAAATTCTGTTGTAATTTCACATTTTTCCTTGTCAAATTTGAATCCAAGATTACAATTACAAACAATTATCTTGATATGTATTTATGCAACAATAAATAAAGATAAACTGTCTCTATCACATTATATTTTCATTATAAACATTAATAAGCTCTACTAAAATATATTTATCAATAATTGAATATTTGGAATATCCTATATAAGAGTACCCTAAATTAATATAAAAAAAGAATAAGAAATTAAAGCTATAGAATTACGAAGCCTATTCTAATTGGCTTAATCACATTAAACCTTACATAAATGCATTGAAAGTTATTGCTAAAATTAATTCAAAAGACGTTATTCAAAAACCAACCTACCTTAATAACCATTATTGTAAATACGACAAATAATATTAGCCTGCTATAAATTCGTAACTTTATTTACTTCCAACATATTCTAATATAATTTGAAGCAAAAGAAGAAATTAATTAATTGGTCTAAAACAAATTTAATGAGAAGTCAGATTCTTGTTATCAACTCAAGTGGAGAAGTCGACAAGAAAAAATTTCAATCCAATTATGGAGGAAAATAAGCGTAACAGGAAAAGGAAGCAAATGCATGGATAAAAAAAGAGAGAATAATGAGAAAACTCACTATTTGTTAAAAATCGCTCGGTTGAGGGAGATGAGAGGGATAAATTATTCTGTACGGAGACTGGACGCAAAATGCCGTCCGGAGACCAATCAGAATGCGCCACATCAGCGGTACCGAGCGGTATCGAACAGTACCAAGCCACGGTATCGAGCACAGGGGTGACGTGATACATTCTGGTTAGTCTCTTGATAACGTTCAACGTCCGCACATAATAATTAATCGAAGAGAAGAGGATATTGAAATACAAGTCCTGTATTTGTTATTCTTTTAATCAAATGTGTGAAAAGAAGAGTTAGTTAGATGGGATGTCCAACAAATTCATAGAAAGTAGACAATAGGCTAGAGAACATGGGCTTCATTTTTCAACTTATCAATTAGTTCGTCAACTGTGGAGACAATCGTGCCTGCCTTCCTCACAGGTGGCTCTGTAACTTGACAAACCTCACAATCTGACTTCAGCTCTACATTCAGCTCTTCAACTGTGAGTTTCTTGATAACCTTGGACTTAGCTTTCATTATGTTAGGAAGTGTTGCATATCTTGGCTGATTCAATCTCAAATCAGTACTGAGACAAACATATAAGGAACAATTTCAATTAGTTGGGGATGCAAATGGAAAGATTAATAGATACAAAGAACAATTATTAGCTGAATTAAGACTCTATTCTGCTATGTTAAGAGACCTTTCTGATTTCTAACGAAGGCTTCCATTATCTTTCATGTGAATAGAACAATTCGTTAAGGTTTTTTGCAGTTTAGCAGGATGGAAATATGCTCATATAATAATGCTTTCATTAAGCGTGGAGCAAATGGTGAAATAGCCTTCTCTAGATGTCCAAAATTTTAATCTTACCAGCAATCTCTCTGTAAATAAATGAATAAGACTATCCATTACCCCCTTCCTTACATCCCGCAGAATAGATACACAAAGGTTATTCTTGTTTACAAAGCTTACTCTCAGATACCGACCACATTACCAAATCTTGGTTACTACTTAAGTAATCAAAGATTATTAGAACTTGGATGAAAACCATGAATATAGGCTTCATGGTTCAAATCGCCCACATACTATTTTTCTCAAGCAATCAAAGAGTACTAGAAGTTAATTTAGATGGAACCGCTAAATATAGGCATCATAGATCAAATGGACAATAGTCTGAACTAGCGAATTCCAAAAAATAGAGCACCTCTTAATAGGCAGGTAACACAAATCTGAAATTATTCAATGCTCCAAAATGCATAATGTACCAGACAACATCATGAAGGGTGAACTTTTGATTTGATTTTAGTTCTTTTTAGTTTATATAAATACCATCCATGGTTTAAAATTGCGTAATATGAGGCTCGCCATTGCGCAATTCCAGTAAAAAACGCCTCGATGCTTACGCCTCGAGTTTTTTTTTTATGAGGCTTGCGCCTCAACTTGGTTGAGGCCCGCCTCGCCTCACTAGCATGAGGCTTACACCTCACGCTAGATATATTAAAACTTACATAAATCTTGAAGTAAATGCCCGACATTGGACTCTATAGGAGAGGAG